AAGCAAAACTGAAAATAAAAAAATTGTCTGGCTGAAACCCGAAACCAATTTTTTTTTCTAACCCAGTGCGGGGAGCAGAGATCAGCCTCCAGTGACAGCTGACAGCTGTTAGTGCGGGAGAAGAGCTCTGCCTCTTGTGACACGCCAGCCACTCATATTGCTCTCCTCCCTCGCACCGCTCGGCCTCCTGTGACAGTTTCTCTCCTCCCCATGGTATGCTTCTCTGTGTCAGAGGAGATACAGAGCAGCGGCCAGCAGGGAGGAGAGAAACCAGGCATGCACCACAATTTTCGGTAGAAAGATGGCACTTTCAGCATTTTGCCAAAAGTGCTATTTTCAGACGATATGTTTCAGCGGCCAAAATTTCGGTGCATCCCTATTCCATGTAAACTTTGATAGAGAACATCACTGAGCTTAAACAGGACTTCTTCTATCTCCTACATTCCTTTCATTCATATCAATCCTTGCATAGTAAGTATTATTGTGACTGGGACTGTATGAGACCTTCTAAGCAGTCATCAAAATTGCAAAATATAGTCATATCTAACTAAAATCTGTTTGTATTAAATATACAGTATTATATATATAAAAAATATAAAATATCTCAAAATATACTTGTTACATTCTAACAGCATGTTACATATATCACCATATGATTAATAGACAGACAGACAGAATGATTAGTTGCCCAAAGATTTGTATTGTTCAGCTTTGATTCCCTAAGAAGCTGCTGGAATGTTGGGTTCTTCTGCCATTCTCCCGCTCTGAACCGATGCGACAACCTACCCACCTACCAGTAACATTAAAGTAGGCTTTAAAAGAGAAAGAAAGAAAGCCCTGCAGGTAGTTTTTTTTAAACAATGTGACAATACCAAGGGTAATCCAACTGTAACCACTAGAAGCAAACACTGTTAAAACATCTGTATGACCTATTTATAGTTCTGACACCCTGACTACACCACTGGCCAGTGGAGGATAAAATATACAGTATGCTGGTGGTGAAGCCCTTAGACACTGTTGGAGTGCTCACTCTGAGGCCTCATTCACATGAGAAAAGGCCGGCACGTAAAGCTCTGTGCTGTGTGCACGGCCGCATCGGGCAGCTCCCGGGAAGGACAGGTGCTGCATGTGATTAGTACGCAGCACCTGACCTTCTCTATGGGAGTACGCGGCCTTACGCCGCCCTACGCTCACCCGCCCTGCATGTCCGTGTGGGTGCGGGTTAGACATGTGCACTGCCAAAAAATGTGTTTAGTTTCGTTTCGTTTTAAATTCGGATTTGTGTTATTTCGTTTTTCAGGATTCGGGTGTGAAAGTCAATTCGGATTCGGAATTCGGACGAAATTCGGTAGCGTTAGTACGAACGGTCATTTCGTTTTCTGTTCTTATTCGTTTCGTTCGTTCGTTTGCAGCAAAAGTGACATTTGAGGGGGAAAAAATATTTTTCTCCTTCTCTAATGTCACTTTGCTCCAACGAACGAAACGAATAAGAAACGAATAAGAACAGAAAACGAAACGAACGTTCGTACTAACGCTACCGAATTTCGGAAATGGAAATTCGGATTCGTTTGCATTCGTTATGTCTGTAATTCGGAATTCGGATACATCCGAATGTCCGAATTTCCAAAAATTCATCCGAATTTCGATTCGGAACGAAACGAATGGCACATGTCTAGTGCGGGTGTCCGTACTCGTACGCTGACAGGATGGATCCTGTCTGCATCCGAGCCGGGACACCTGCACCCGTACGGACCTGCACTTGGGGTGAACGTAGGGCGGCGTACGGCCACGTACTCCCATAGAGAAGGACAGGGGCTGCGTACTAATCACACACAGCACCTGTCCTTCCGGGGAGCTGGCCGATGCGGCCGTGCACGCAGCACAGAGCTTTACGTGCCGGCCTTTTCTCATGTGAATGAGGCCTTAGGGTGCATTCATACCAAATTCGGAAGGAAACTCCAGGTCCAGGTTTGGAAAACCAAAGGGAAACTCCAGGTCCAGGTTTGGAAAACCAAAGGGAACAGAGTTCTGTTTCGCCTGTTTTGGGCCTGATCATGGCGGATCGGGGTTAGGCTTGTCCAATTACATCCGACGCCCTAACACTGGTCTGGTAAGTTCAGTTTTTTTCTCTCCAATGCAGCATGGATAGAGGAAAAAAACTGGATGGGCACAAATGTCACAACAGTGATATCCATTCTGAACTGCTGCGATCAGCAGACATATGTGCATGGATCACCTGCTGATGCAAATGACAGACACCTGGGTAAAAGGGGCCTAAAAACTGGGATCTTTGGGAGGGAAGCCTCTGCATGTGCCCACATGGAGGGGTACTAAAGAAACAGGAGAATTCCAGCTCTCCTGGGTGGCTCCTTAAGTTAATAATGCAATGCAAACTCTTCTCTGGAACACCCAAGTACTGAAATACAGTATCCCCGATATTGATTTAATCACAAATTCCATCCTTAATCCTTTATAATAATCCTCCATTTTCATGAAAGTGCTTTGCAGACGTATTCTACTAAGTATCATAGTCGTCTTCCTCCAAAACAGATATAAAATGTGATGAGAAGCACAAGGCAGCCTCAGAAAATGTAGCATCACGGCGGCATTAAAACATATGGTGCAAAATTGCATTGTGATAAAATGTAAAAAAAAAAAAAGAAGGATATAGAAAATAAAACCTATGATCCCACCACGTCATCTACATATGTTGAAATTAAAATGTAACTACAGTCGGCAGAACAATCCTTGCAAAAGTTTTAATAAGAAGAAAAATTGTGAAACGTATCAGACAAATGGGCACTTTGTAACATTGTTAAATTGGAAACTGCGATAGTTCCTAAATGTTTATTTAGTGTTTAGCATTTAAAGCATTTAACACTAATCATATATTATTTGTGACAAGGTTTTCATAGCTGCATTTGATTATTTAATTATATTTTTATACAATTATATTTCATTTTATAATGCACTTTCCTTGAAAGGAAGAATTTTTGGTTGATATGTGTGTCATTGCTGCCCTCTTGTGTCATTTTATCTAACTGCAAGCAATCAGTATAACAGTAGCGGTCCATACACACATTTCTGCTTGAAAACGTTGTTCAGTTCTGTGCACTTCTCATGTTGGTGCGTTTTCGGGGATTTTTGCATGTAAATGCACATTCTAAATGCATGTTATTACATATTTTTTAATACATATTTTCATTTATATTTTTATAAATGCTCTCTCAAGGTTTTCTTTTGAAATGTTACTTTCCATTTAGAAATCAACGCAAAACTTTGACATTTCTATTGATTGGTCACATTTAAAGGGTATTTTTCTACTTTAGCAGTCACATTTGAGAAAACCCCTCTATATGTCTGTGATGTGATCCTATTCACACAGCATAAAGAAAAATAAATTAAAAAAAAAACTATATCTTCTGTTTTGTTGCAGCAGACAAGATGGCCGATTCCAGGCTTTTCTCAGCTCCTTCATGGTGATCTGTATTAATCGAAAGGCTTAGGACTGAAATTTGTGGATTGTGTTTCTCTCATTCACCTAATCAACATACAATGGAGAAGCCACCTCTGACCCCTAACAGTGTCTCCTAACATTGCAAAGAAAGATAAGCAAGTAGAAATGTTAACCCCATTAAACCCCTAAGCCAAGTAAAAACAGTTAAAACAGTTTTGGTCACCAATCCACAGAAAGGATGTCATGGAGCTGGCGAGAGTCCAGAGAAGGGCAACTAAACTAATTAAGGGGCTGGAGGAACAAAGCTATGAAACACGGTTACTAAATTTAAACGTGTTCACTCTGGAAGTGAGGAGATTAAGAGGAGATATGATTTTAATGTTCAAAATGTTTAGTGGTGATGGCAACATCTGCAATAAACTATGTACAGTAAACTCCATAACAATGACTAGAGGCCACCACCTAAAATTGGTGGAGAAAAGATTTAACCACAAAGGGGCGTAGGGGATTCTTCTCAGTCAGAGCGGTTAAAGTCTGGAACTCGCTGCCAAAAGAAGTCTGAGAGTATTGAATCATTCAAAAAGCTTTTAGATACCTTCCTCAGAGACCATGACATACAGGGGTACAGGTATTCTTAAAATCTAGATCACACAGGGACTCAGTGTACACACACACATGCACAATCACACACAGACACACAAATGTTGATGGACCTGTGTCTTTATTCAACCTCAAATACTATGTAACTATGTCACTGCAAGGAGCATTTTTTTATTACTATTTTTTTTTAGCATATGCAATGTGAAAGGGAACATGTAACAAATGTAAAATAGGTGTTATCCTAAATTGGCTGCAAAAGTGAAAATAAAATAAATTAAAATAAATTATGATATATTATATATTCAGTTTACTTATTCACTTTTCATCAATTGTATAATGTATTGTTATTATCAAAATACATCTCTTTTATTTCACCCTTCAGCATTAAAGCTGAACTCAAACGACACTCCTGGGAAGAACAGGTGATGCGTGTGATTGTACGCAGCAGCCAACAGTGTTCTTCTCTACGGGAGTACGCCGCCGTACGCTCACCCGAGCTACACATCCGTGTGGATGCGGTTGTCCATGCTCAGACTCAGACAGGATTCATCCTGTCTGCAAACGAGTATGGACACCCGCACCACCACGGATGTGCAGCTCGGGTGAGCGTACGGCCACTTACTCCCATAGAGTACTCGGACACAGACAGGATGGATCCTGTCCGCATCTTAGCACAGACATCCGCACCCGCACGGATGTGCACTTCAGGTGAGCGTACGGCCCCGTACTCCCATAGAGAAGAACAGGCTGCTGCGTACAATCACACGTAGCACCTGTCCTTCCCAGGAGCAGCACGATACGGCCGTGCACGCAGCACGGATCTGTACGGGTCGGCTGTTACTCGTGTGAAAGAGCTCACAGGTGTAAGCAGGGATTAAATTGTCTCCAACAGTCCCTTGTTCGCTTCCCTATGAAGTAATAACCTGAGCTGTGCTTTCTGCAGGGATGTTATGTTGGCTTTGACTTGGCCCATGCTGTTGGTAACGTTGAACTGCACTTACATGACTGGGATGTGGACTTTGCCTGCTGGTGTTCCTATAAGGTATTTCATTCATTCATGTATTGTATTTCTTGCTTTTGTTATTTTTATAGTTTATATCGTTTACCACTAACTAGAAGCTGAACAGTTTTTTCATCTTGCATCCATAAAGAGGTCTACGATGGACTTAGAAACCCTTGTATATTTCATGGAACTGTGTTGGAGTTCTTTGAAACTGCTTCAGGCCAGCAGCTAAGAACACATACAGGTGAAATACATATATGGGAGCAATCTGTCAAAGGATTTGTATTTATGTGCATCCAGTCCTGAGATTTAAACAGGTCTGTCACACCACAAAGTCCTCTCTGGCAGGGGAGGACATCTGATTTTTTTTGTGGAACATCATTAATGCTTACAAGTCTTCCTCTCACCCTCGCCTTTTGACTGGACAGCAAAAAGAGAAGCAACAGACTGATAAGCTCATCTCTATGTCACTCTGATTTCTCCTTCTATCAGCATGCTGCTTGCACTGCAGCAAAACTGATTGCCTCCTTGTGCTGCTTCTCCCTACCCCAGTCTGGACTCTGCTGTAAAAGGACTGCAAGAGGCTAGCACCGGGTCAAATTCAGATACTTACACTGCTGCTTGCTTTAACTACCTCCGGGCCGGCCGTTGTAAAAAAAACAGCCGGCCGGGAGCTCTCTAGATCTGAGCGGGCGTCTTTAGACATCCGCTCAGACACGCCCGCCCAGCGACGCGAGCGAGCGAGAAATGCCCGATATTTAAAAACAGGCAGCGATGCCTGTTAACATACAAGCGATCCGCCGGCTATAGAGCCCGCAGATCGCTTGTATGGGGTAACAATTGGTGCCACCCCCTCCGCGGTCCCCGCCTCCGCCGTTGTCCCGCTGAGCTGGTCCCCGGCTCCGCTGTGCCCGGTGCGAGCCCAGGATCAGCAATGTGCCCTGTGTCACAGGGGATCAGAGGGAGATCTGTACACGAGCTCCCTCCGGTCCCCTCTCTTCTGCAAGAATGCGGAAGTGTTGTATATTACATCACTTCCGCATTCTCGTGTCACTCTCCAGCTTCAGATGCTGGAGAGAAGCTGATGAAGCAGATCTGTGCTTCATCAGCTTCTTTTGGGGGGTCCTAGGTGACATTAGGGGTCTTGGAGACTCCTGATGTCTCCATAAAGAGGACCTGTCACATATTTTGCTATCACATAGGGGGTTTTTATTAGCCTCATATGTGATAGCAATAAAGTTTAGTGAACAAAAAAAATAGGAAAACAATGAAAGTCCCCCCCCCCCCAAAAAAAAAAAATTAAGTTACACATAAAAAAAGAACAAACATTTTTTTTTTTAAAGTCCCCACCCATACATACAGGCATTCAAACATGCGTGGGGGGCGCATACCTGCGATAACAACTATTACGCCCATTACGCCGCACATGTTACATATCGCCACGAACGTCGCAGTGAGAGCGATAATTCTAGGGCCATCAATCACTGATAACACTAAACTGATGAGCGGTAAAAGCTTTTAAAGCATCACCTATGGCCAATTTTGAGTATGGTAGTTTTCTGCGATTTTGCAGTGCGCGCAATTTTAAAGCTTTACATTTTTGGTGTCTATTTACCTGACGTGACCCCGACTTTTATATTTTACAAAAAAACTGGGTAATAATAAATGTTTCCTAACATAATGTAAAATAAAACTTTTTTCTTTCTACATATTCAGTAATTTTTCCTAATTATAGTAAATAATAACAACCGTAGTGGTGATTATATACCACCAAAAGAAAGCTCTATCCGTCCCCAAAAAATGGTATAAAATTCATTTCAGTACAGCGTTGCATGACGGAATAAACGTCAGTCAAAGTAACGCAGCGCTCAATACTGAAAAATGGCCCAGCCTGGAAGGGGGTCTAAACACCTGTTCTTCAAGCGGTTAAAAAAAATGAATCCAATGATGCATTAATGATACAGAGTTGCATTAATATGAGTATTTTATATGAGCCTGGAGTTCAACTTTTAGTCTAAATAAACCCTGGACTGGAAGGCATCGGGCACATCAGGTATTTGCCACAGGGGAGAGTCTACTTAAGATAATGTATAGTTTGGTAAGTTCCTTTGGGTTGCCGTGCCTCAGCAAAGATCACTGTGCTCTATTCACATTCTGCACATGTCCACACAACAGGATTGTATTGGCAGCGTGGCAATGCTGTGGCATTATTTTACAGACTTGGGAACACACCGTGTGCTCTTACATATGAAAGTAGGCTTGTATACTGCCTGTATCAGGAATGTTTTTGCTGATGGTCCTGCAGGGTATCTTCTTGGCAGGAAAGGAACTTATAGTAAATGTTGTTGGTTGTTGGTTATGTGTTTAGATGAAGCACAACATCTTAAGGAATGCTGAATTAAGTTTTAATTGCTTTTGGAGAACGTTACATATATATACAATGCACTTTGTAGGAAACATATAGGGGGTTATTCACAACGCTGTCGAAGGCAGCCGAGTGAATAGCCCAGCCGAAGTGAAGTGAGCCGAACGCTGTTTGGCTATTCACTTCAGTCTTGTACGGCTGATTTCAGCTGTACATTGGCTAAAATCAGCCGTACATCGGCTGCCTTCGGTCATCCGAATATGCTCTAAGGCAGTGTTTTTCAACCTTTTTTGTGCAAAAGCACACTTTTTTCATGAAAAAAATCACGAGGCACACCAATATATTTTTTTTAAAGAGAAAAAAAGAAAAACAATTGGGCGGAGCTAGCGGTGACAGCTAGCTCCTCCCAACTGTTTCCTATTGGCCGTCACCTGCAAGAGTCTTCTGGCAGGTCCGGCCACTGAATAACAACTGAGCGGAGTCAGCCATGACGTCACATCTGGCTCCGTCCAGTTGTAATTGTTCAATGAGAGACAACCATCCCCAGGTCATTTGGGGACACTGATCTGTCATTACAACTGGGCGGAGCGAGCCGCAAGATCAGGGCTGCCTCCGCCCAGCTGTCATTTGCATGGGGATCGGTTGGCTTTGGTCGACGCTTCTCCACCCTTCAGGTGCCACTACAGCTCAGCCGAGCCGAAGCATATGCGTTCGGCTTGGCTGCCCTCGGCTGCCATACAGGCTATTGTGAATAGCCCATACAGCGGCCCTTAGGTTCGACTGAACCGAAGGGCAGAGGCAGCCGAAGGATCAGCCGAAGCTACGGCTAGATCCTTCGGCTCTTTATATAATAGATAAGCATGCATATATAGACTAACACTGCACTACAGCGCCATCTACAGCTCAAAAGACAAAACAGTATATGCTGTTGCATTTCCATCAAACTCAACAAAACAACACTGTAAAATACTTTCTTCTACAGGTGTTATTTAGAGATCAGCAAATGTCTAAAAAAACGTCTTTTCCAAAGATCTACCTGTTCTATATCTGCAGTTCCTTTCATTGATTTTAACCTGTTTGAGGAGAGCAAGCTGGGCACCCACCATGCAGGGGTAGGGGTCTGTGTCTTATAGCATCGTGCACGCAGCTATTTAAAGAGGAACTGCACCCATCAATTTAATGTCTCCCAAAACAGTTACTGTCAAGGCATGCCAACTGTCAAGGTTGCCTGTGTGCTTATTTCTGTTCTCAGCCAAACTTTCAAGCCCTCAAATGGCTGTAGTCATAACTGATCACATGTGCATCACCATGGCAAATGTAATCCAAATAGAGGCCACGGTGGCACCTTCCTTGGCTGTAATGGATAAGAAGTGTGCTAATTATTTCAAAAACATGGTATAATCCTATATAATCCTATATAGCTGACAAACCTATGTGAATATCCCACTAATCTAATGTTACAAATTTACATAGAATATGGTTCAGCACTGAAAAGACTCCTTCTAAGCTAAGCTGAATATTCTTGCAAATTGATCATCAAAACAAACACATATATAAATACAATGTTACATTTCCAAACAGCAGGGGATCTGTATACTGATCCCCTACTGATCCCCTATCAGAGCAGTTCGGAAAACAGACATCACTCTTGTGATATCCGTGTCTGTCCAGTTTAAAAAAAAAAATGTGTGGCAAATTAAATTTGTAACATCTCTTCCTAATACTAATTTGTTTAGGCTTTAGTATCACTTTTTACTCTGTGCCCCCTTTAAGAAAATGTGCTCTTGCTTCCTGTTCTGTCTTACACAGGAGAAATCTTCCCAATGTAGAAAGCAGAACATTCTGGCACAGATTCTAACCCTTCCTTATACTGTTAGAAAAAAATATCTTATTGTTGCCTTTGGTCCCATTGGGGAGACCTTCCCTCACTTTATACTTTGCCCAACATCTGTCATTTAGAAAATGAGGGTGAATGAGTACAGATTACAACAGGAACATTACAGGCCCTACCTAAATCTTTTCTAAACCAACAAAAAGTTTTGGCTGCATGCGGACTGCTGCAGGAGGGAAGGGCAAAGGGTACATTTTACAACTGTGTTCTTTAATCATCGTGTGTCAATGCAATTTATCTTATTTTTGTTGCTTCACAGTATCTTAATTCTGGAGCAGGTGGATTGGCTGGAGCTTTCATCCATGAGAAACTTTCCAGTGCTATCAAACCAGCGTAAGTACTAGATGAGAACTGGCATTGTAACAGTTAAAATCAGAAGATGGAGCTAAATAGATGGACAGATCATTTACTGTATATTTAAAGTCAAAACTTTATTTTTCTAGTTTTGGATAGAGCAGGAAATAGTTAAAGCGGCATTCGGCTCGGCTGTTCTGCTCGGTCCCTCAGAGGTACCGAGCAGGACAGAAAAAAGAGTGAAAAAAGTTAAAAAAGTAAATAGCAAACGATTGTGCGGAGCTAGCAGTGACAGCTAGCTCCGCCCCATAGGTTTCCTATTGTCCGGCGGCTCTGCTGCTGTCAATTTTTTTTTTTAAACTTTCCTGGGCGCTCTGGGAGCCTCCTGCTCCCGGCCGCCCAGGAGAGAAACAATGATGTGTCTTTTTTTATCTTTATTCTGACGCAAGCGATGTCAGAATAGAAAAAAAAAATGTTCCCATTGAAAATCATTGGTACATTACTATTGGCTATTTCAATTTGCAATAGCCTATAGTAAACTAGCATTGTACCCGTCCTCTGACTCGGCCAGCTTTGGCTTTCAGCACGGCTCAGCCGAGCCGATGCATATGCGTTCGGCTCGACTGAGCCGCTCGGCCATGATCGGGAGCTGTACAGGCTATTGTGAATAGCCCGTAAAGCACCCCTTCGGTTCTAATGAACCGAAGGGGTCCTGGGGCAGAAGCTAGCCGAAGGATCGGCCAAAGCTACGGCCAGATCCTTCGGCAGCTTTGCGAATAGACCCCTAAATCCTAAGTAATAATTGGCTCCAGTTTCCAAGATACAGCTTCAAGGTCAAAATTGCATCAAAATAATTCAAATATTTGAGGGGGATGTGCGATTATGCTCCATAACTTTTCTGCAAAATGTGATATAGCAATGAGAATGGTGACACACCAATCATTATAAATTATAAACCAAATCTTTTTGGTGATCACGGAAAATGGAGATCCTGACATCACTCTGCAAGAGGTTCCACTGTTGTAATCTGGAGCCCAGTAGCTCTGCCTTACTCTTAGGTAATTCCAAATCCCTGACCAGGTAATTTAGTTCACTCTGTGAAATTAGATGTGGTTCAGGAGGAGCATTCGGTGGGCTAAAGTTTTGGTCAGCTGACATCTACAGCCCCGGATCAGCTGCATCAGCTGTTCATCGTCTTTATCATCATCTAAGTCTAGAAAGTAGGATTCTGGTGGATCTGGAATAGGCATGTCTTCACCATGGGGTACAGGACGCAGTGTGGATTGAATGTTTGGATATGCTACGGTCCACTTCTTCTTTCTTGAGGTGCCTTTTGCAATTGGGGGAACCGTGCAAAATATAACAGTCGCTACTATGATTGGTGGTGGTTTCCCTCCACACTATTGGGACAGCGAAAGGCATGGACTTTTTCTTCTTGTTTAGCCAATGACGCAGATAAGTTGCACATGCAATGCAACAATAACGAGGGGCCCAACTCTTGTCCTGATCCCCTATTCTGCATCCAAAATATATACGGGATATGCTATTTTTTACTACTGCCGTCATACTGCACTTTTGAGATGCAAATGTAACCTCGCCACAAATGTAGCAGAAGTTATCTGCGTTGTTTACACAGTTTTTCTCATGTTGCATTTAAGGAGCCTGAACACACACACACATTTCTGCACTCTTTTTGTTCAATGCAGCGAACCGCAATGCACTTTTAATCCCCATCTGTGTGTAGTGGTGTGTTGAAGAGCAGGTACATTCCTTAACACTGTATATGTGCATTGGTAGCCATTCAGGAAGTGCTCTCTTTGCTCATTGCATGTGCAACTTTTGTTACTGGGTAGTACTGTAGTACTGAACAATGTTTGTGCCTTGCTGGTGCCATTCAGAGTGAATGACAAAGCACCACAGCCCACAAGTAGAGGTAAATAAGATGTATTTCATGCTGGTGGTAAATTGTGTCGCACATGTAAGTATTGTGTCTCAGAGGTTATTCTGCAACAGATTCATATCATACCTACCAACAGTTACATGAATCTGTTGCAAGTTGTGCCATTTGTTGCTCGGACACGAGACAGATTTCTAATGAGTGTCTTTGACACCCTTTATGATACCCAAGGAAAAAATTAGATTGTTTACCTCATGTTGAGCACTTTTACATACATTAAAAATCAAATAGCTACTTGGTTGGCTACTGACTGTGTATTTATAAGAAAGCAATCTTCCGACCAACAGAGGAACAACTAGTCATTTGCCATGGTTTCCATGCACTGCACTAATGAGGTTTCAAAAGCCTGGAACAGTTGTATGTAGCTTGAAATAAATGCCTTTGTCCTATTAGGCTGTATGTGTGCTGCACACCAACAGTTCTACATGTATAGTTGATCCTGGAACATAAAGGAACAATTTGCATGTCCCCATCCACTTTACTAAAAAGAGACCCCTTACTTGTTTTTGGACTTGTGATGGAAGAGAGACAGGCAGATGCCTCCTGTTTTAACAAGGCTCTATTGCACTCTGCAATAACAACCTTTCAAACGCCAAATGCTTTTCTCCTTTTATTGCATTTTACGGAGGAAAAGTGTGTTTTTCTCAGAGCCTCCACTTCTGCATCCCAATCACCTCTCCTGCCGATGTCTGATAACATTCATTATTCTGCTCTTTTTCTGGTCAGTCATTTTAAATTCCCGTTTCCGAGCATTTCACACTGTGATGTTTGATCTGAATTCTTCATTACCGTCCCCGTAATGTCAAAACATTTTGTGTGTCACCTGCTGGGCCGACGAGCTGTTTCCTAAATACAGTAGTGTGTGTTTGCTGCGAATTAGCTCATTCCGCGGCAGCTGTAATTGCGTATAATGATTTTTATTTCTCCTTCTTTCCAGGTTGGTTGGCTGGTGGGGTCACGAGTTCAAATCCAGATTTAGCATGGAAAACAGTGAGTATCAATGTTTCTGATCGTAAATCCTGTGCCTTTTTGTGACAGTATCCAAGTAAAATGGGAAGCAAAGGGTTCACCTTCTAGTAAGCTTGCTCTCAGGTCACTTCTTATTTTATTTAACCCAATGTTGACGCTTTTATGCACATTATACACTGCCTGGCCAAAATAAAAAAGTCACCACCTGGATTTAGCTAAGCAAATAGGTCAGAGCCTTCCATTGGATAATTAGTCGAGCTTCAGCAACGTTATATCCAAAAAAAATGAGGTCAGCTGCCTACCTGAATATACTAAGTGACCAGGTTTTCCATCAATGGATATTCTCTTCCCTGGTGGTACAGGCATATTCCAAGAGGACAATGCCAGGATTCGTAAGTCTCATTTTGTGAGAGAATGGTTCAAGGAGCATGAGACATCCCCTTTACACATGGGTTGGCCACCACAGAGTCCAGACCTTAAAGTGACACTAAACTCAGGAGTTAAATCCTAGAAATCCATTCAAATGCTTTAACTATGAACAAAAATGCATCTTATTTTTGTATCCCTCGGCTGTAGATCCTCAAATCATCTCTGAATTGGTGCTGACACTGTCCTTCCTTCTGGAGGGGGGCTACTTTTGTTGCCCATGTTCCCTGTGTGTGTTGTAAAGTAGTCACCGCTCCAAGCTCACTCCCGTGATGGGCAACAATCTCATGTTTAGTTTGCTAATTTGTAGTGAGATTGTAGTCCATCCTAGGAGCGAGTTTGGAACGGTGGCTACATTACAACACACACAGGGATAATGTGGAACAAAAGTAGCCCCCCTCCAGGAGGAAGGAGAGTGTCAGCACCAATTCAGAGATGAAACCTAGGACTAAGAAGTCTGATAAAAGATGAGACAATACTCTTTCTGTAAATAAAAATGCCAGGACAGTATGAAAACCCTCAAAATGTTTTCAAGTTAAAAAAGAAGGATCAGTCATTTTGTCAGTTGCATGCAATCTCCTATACTGCAGCAATCCAAATAGAAGAATGGACAGGACTGGGGACTAATCAGATGTTCCGTATGCAAATGTGTTGACAAGGAATTATCTGATAGGAGGCAAAAGAATGACCAGATGAATGACCTCACCAACTTGTTGCTGCTTTTTTGGCTTGTTTTACTCTATGCATAACATTGTCAGTAGACCCCTCACATAATCAACAACAACTAGCATCATCTTAGCAGAGAATATCAGCACCTGGTTGATGGTGAGGTATTGTTTTGCATTGTATGGTACTATAAAAGAAAACTCCTTATATCACATAAAACCCTTTACATATCATATGTTGTTGCTGTCTTTAGTAATACCTGTATAATATCACTATATGTTTTTATTTTTTTGAACTAGAGCTAAAATTAAGCCAGGGAGTTGATGGATTTCGTTTGTCTAACCCACCTATGCTACTGGTCAGTTCCCTGCATGCAAGTTTAGAGGTAGGAATGTTACTTTTTTTCACATATGGTATGATATATGATGATGACATTGCATATATATCGACTATACAGCACAATGGCTGGACAAACCATTTTGTGACATAATGTTATTATAATGTTCCTTTCCATTTGAATCTGCATAAGGATAAACTTCTCAGACACCTCTGGTTACCTGTCTATAAAAAAAATTCTCATCTTGAAACCATAAAGTCTTTGATGGTCTGAATTCTACAGCAACCCTTATTTACTTAAAGTGACACTAAACTCATTAGGTAAATCTTTAAAATGCATTCATGTACCTTAACTATTAACAAAAATGTATGTTATATGTGTATCACTCGAATGTAGATCCTCAAATCATCTCTGAATTGGTGCTGACTCTGCCCTTCCTCCTGGAGGGTGGCTACATTTGTTCCTCATGGTCCCTGTGTGTGTTGGAAAGTATCCACCACACCAAGCTCACTCCTGTGATAGACTACAATCTCAATACAAATTAGTAAATAAACATGAGACTGTAGTCCATCATGGGCTCAAGTTTGGAGCAGTTTCTATGGTTCATTTGTCAATACTGTGTCCTTTAGCAATGCAGGGGCCGAAGGGAGGAACCACAGTGCACCAGGTATCTGACATGCCTAGAAGTGCATTGGATATTTTAAGCTAAACTTAAAAACGTTAGTAGAGTTGTCCCATAGTACAGCGCTTTACGAGGGTGGGGACGTGCGGACATGGATGTTACTGCTTGGTGTGCTGCTTCTCGTATTCACTCTGCAATAACAACCTTTCAAACGCCAAATGCTTTTCTCCTTTTATTGCATTTTACGGAGGAAAAGTGTGTTTTTCTCAGAGCCTCCACTTCTGCATCCCAATCACCTCTCCTGCCGATGTCTGATAACATTCAGACATCGTCAGGTTAACCTCCTGAGGCTGGAGGTGTTTGGCCAGTGGGGTCTCTTTGCTGGTGGGTTGGAGACTTATGTGTGCTCTGTTCCACGGGTGAACAGATGTGTGGGGAGGCAAGGAAGTGTGGGGGCTGGCACACACCGTCAGGACTGGGGAGGACAGAATGCCAGTGAGATCATCGGTGGCTAGAGGTGGGCAAGCCAGCCCCAGCGCCGGCTTACCCGGACCCTCAGTGGTGTGTTGGGGGAGCCCTCAATGGAAGAAAGGACCCGAGTTGAATATGTGGCTGCCTAATATTGTGTTGTTGGCAGCCAGATCCAGATGATCAGTGCGGGCGTGTGTGCCAAGGGGACCGGATGTGGTTAAGCAAGGGGCCCGGTAAGCAAGAGGTGGGTAAGCAGTGGATTTCTGGTCTAGTGTGCAATGGGATATCTGTTTATTTTGGTTCAAAAAGAAGCACTGGTGCTTTACATTGAAATATATTTGCTTTGCTGACTTAAAAAGGGTGCCTGAATACATATTTAGATAACATTATACATTAGAAATGTAATTTACAAATAAAGTGAGAAAAAAAACAGTAAAAAGGAATTGAGTTGCTTAGCCACTGCAATACTTCTTGTAAGCATATGGTGGCATGATAGAGTCAAGTCATTCAAACTCAAGAAACATTGTGGTGTTTGCCATAGGCAGATTTAAAGGAATGTATAGTGGTTTATTTTATATATTGCATTTCTTTCTTATGGCCATGACTAAAAGCCTGAACATTTATATATAATTTGTTTCATGTTTTTGTTAGGTAGATGTGAAATAATTCATATCAATATTATGTAGTTTTCTATCCAGCCAACAGATGGAGCTTTAACCTTCTTTTCCTGAGTCCCTGTGCAATAAAAAGTGCATTGTTTACAAAGCTCAGTAGCTCAAGTCACAAATGTGCACACAGAAACATCTGAGTGTCACAGCGCCCGGGTTGGTTGGATCTCAGCTGCGGATATCACAGGAAGTGGAATGAGAGGAGGTGGTTCAGTCTGCGGATCCCGTTACACTCAGTGCGGCGGGATTACCGTGGGCATCATATACCACCCGGAGTTAGGGTAGGGTAGGACCTATTTATTAAATTACCTAATTTAATCTAGGTTAATGATGGAGGTTAGTAATGGACTGCAACTCAGAAGAGGGTACTCCTAATTGTCCCACACACAACATGCGCAATCAGCAGTGTGAAATCATGCCAGGGTTAGAGCTCTCCTTAACAGTAACATAATATTCATTTGCATGAAGCAACAGTTAACGTGAGTGTACTCCTTAGTTGTATGTCAATCCTAAATTGCAACAATCATCAGTATGAGTTATGCCAGGGTTAGAGTTCTCCTTAACAGTAACACAATACTACTATGTATAACGAGCAGTTTTGATTAGAGCATTCCTTAATGGTAAGACAATCTTAATATGCAACAGTCAGCAGTATAATTTATGTCAGGTGAATGCCGCCAGAGGTTAAATGGAGATAGGCTCCACAGTTCATATGATTACCAGTGCAGGAATGATAAGTAGCTATCACAGCTAATTGTGGATGCCTTGTAGCAAAGGCAGCAGCTTGCTTGTCTCCACAGCTATGGACTTGCAGTTACATGTGGGCTCGATGAGGGGAGAGATGTGCCTCCTGGCTGTGCTGTTAGGCTGTGTCCGGGTTTCAAAGGGGAGCCGGTGGCAGAGCGGGGTCGTCTGCAGGCTGCAGGGAGCCAGATAGGTTTTGGTATCGCAGAGGTCGTGGGGTTCGCTGTCCGTCACTCAGCGAACCAAATTAAGAGAACGCCGAGTGATCGAAGCAGCTGATTATTTAAGTGGGAGGCCGCGCTCCTCCCAGTGACGTCACCCTAGAGACAGCATGGCGCTGGAGCGAGGAGACGCGCCAACCGAGTCTATGACACTGAGACAGAGGAGTTACTCCTTCCTTAACAGGTGGCTCTATCCAATGTTTAATTTTTATTTAGCTATCCCATAGTGCTCTGTAATATATATGATTATTTGTAAAACAAATATTTAAAACAAAACTGAAGAAAAACAATATTGTAAAAAGCCTTTTTACATTTAAAATAATAAGTAAAAAATTGCCAAAACATTATAGTTTTCCCTCAGCCAGCATTGGAAGAACAATTACGAAAAAAATATGAAACATAATTCTGAGTTTGAAAGTCAGAATTCAGAGATTAAGGGGGTTATTCACAAAGGAGCCAAAGGATCCAGCCATAGCTTCAGCTGATCCTTCGGCTCTCATCAGCCGCTGGAGCCCTTCGGTTCAGTCGAACTGAAGGGCTGCTGTACGGGCTATTCACTATAGCCCGTACAGCAGCCGAAGGCAGCCGAGCGGCTCAGCCCAGCCAAAGGCATATGCTTCTGCTTGACTGAGCCTAAGTGTCAGCCAAAGCAGGGCGAACGGCCTGCCAAAAGGCCGGCCGTAAGCCCCGCAAATGAGAGCTGGATGGAGCCAGCCATGATCTCACCCTAATTCTTCTTCTGGGCCTATAATAACTAAAGCCTTAATAGAACTAGTAGGGGAGCATTGAGCATAGCACCCCAGTGCACAGATAGTAAGCTAGGCTGACCATTCTCCTTAATAGGAAACACTGCCACACGCACGTATAGTTATGCAGGATTTTAGGATGAACTAGGAAAGAAAGGAGCAGGCGGAGCTTAAAAAATAAGCTTTTCATTAAAACTGGAGTGCCTGTAGCATTTGGATGACTACTTCAGCTCTTGTACCTTTATACCTCTTATGGACCAGAACAATTTTTTACATTTCCACTACAGGCCTGTTTATTAAGTAACACATTTGTCATTTATTAAAATACAAAACAACCCCCCCCCCCAAAGAATTACATACATTATTTTCATTGTTTTTTGGGGACCAATGTAGGCTTCCTGTTGCCAATATTGTCTTACGAAAATGTTCTTCTATCTCGCTCATTGAGGGACCAAGGATTCAAGGACAGTGGTCATTTTATTGATGTACACACATCTTGTCATAAAAATGTGGGTTATATTGCTACCTCGAGGGGGACTTGGACTAGTTGCTAGCGTCCTAGGAGGATGGACATCTTTTCTCTACTGAGAAAAGTTTAACCATTTATATTAGTCATTTTTTCTTTTTAATAAGATTTTTTTTAAATCAAGATTTTGCTACATGCTGCTTTAGTTAGTCTTTTTATGCAGCTATCTGAATCAGAAAATAATTTAACCTCCAGAGCCCTGGTACATTTATGAGTGCTGCATGTCAGGAACGTGTCAGGAACTACTTTTTTTATGAGAACTGTTGTGCACCATTACTATTACCTTTTTTCCACTGGTTTCCATGAAAAGGGTTAAAATGCTGACTTAAGTGCTAGACCACTAGGCGGAGTGTTCTCACCATCCAGTGTGAGGTAAGCACCTTCCCAGTCCTAATTGGAAGAGACGTGTGGTTTCACCTTGGTTATTCCTTGCTCCTACTTACAGCAACCTTGTCACTTCCAGTTGTTTGAACCACTTCAGCACTTGGCAGAAAGATTGTGTCTCAGAGCCTTCCATTGGATAATAGGTCTATGTTCAGCAACGGTATGTCCCCACAACATGAGGTCAACAGCCTACCCAAATATACTGAATGACCAGGTATTTCCATCAATGGATTTTTTCTTCCTTGATGGCACATTGGGCATATTCCAAGATAACAATGCCAGGATTCATCGGGACTCAGATTGAGAAATAGTGGTTCAGGGAGCATGAAACATTATTTTCACTAGGGATGCACCAATACTTTTCAGATACCAGTGCCGATACTTGGCATTTTCATGAGAACTACCAGAGTTGCAGTGGTTGCAGCTGGGACCTGGCTCTGGTGCTCCACCACTGTCCTGAAATCATTAGTCTGTATTGTTTTAGAAAAACTGTCACATGACAATAAACAAATATGTATCAGTACTTGTACCTGTGAGTACTTGGACATGTATCAGTACTTGTACTTGCAAAAATGGTATCGGTGCATTCCTTTATATATATTTATAAAAACAAAATCATACATTAAAACAGAGATGTACAAATCCCAGGAGCTCCGTTTGCTCCTTACAAATGACAGCTGCCTCCTAACTTTTGAATTTTTCTCTAGTCTAGTCTTGGAGTTCAAAAAGTATCTGTACTTGTACTTGTACCGAGTACGGTACTTGGTATCGGTGCATCCCTAATTTTCACACATGGACTGGCCACCACAGAATCCAGACCTTAACCCCATTGAGAATCTTTGGGATGTTCTGGAGAAGACTCTATGCAGTGGTCTGACTCTCCATAATCACTACAAGATCTTGGTGAAAAATTAATGCAACTCTGGTTGGAAATAAACTCTGGACAGAAATACATTTTGTGTAAGTTCACTTCACGGAAGTTGTAAAGGTGATATACTTGAACAAATGGCACAAAAAATAGACATGATGTATCCATTCTCAGTTTGAGCTGTTGAGACCTGTAAACAACATTCTTTCGTCAAAATGGTGGAAGGAAGCAGGAAAACATATAAAAAAATCCTAAAGGTCCACCCATTGGCTGGAATCTAAGAATACATAATATTCACATGTAAAAATGTATGTTTACCTGACCAAAAGAAAAGAAAAATAACTTTTTAAAGTTATAATGGCTTGATAACAACATTTTCTTTTCTTTTTTTTCTCTTTTTTTGTTTGCTGTCTCTCTTTTTTTTCTGTTCTGCTGAAGGCATCCCGCTTACTCATAAATATCCCTCTCTGCCTGTTGGCAGGTGCCATTGCTGCATGTTCTCTTACACGGATGTCTCCGCAGAGTCACAACACAAATTCCAAGGACACAACAGAACAAATTAACTTTCTCCACTCTAGAAGCTCAGTTTAAAACGCATTTAGAGAGAAGCCATTTATATTGTTCCTGAGCACTGATTGTTTGTATAATTTTCTACATCGCAACTTAATGCTTCATCTGTAACAACAGAAGCTGTTAAGCTGAAACCTGAAAGCTTTCTGCATGAATTTTAGCTGCTAAATTAGGCAAATTTGACCTGGGAATCCAAGTACAGATAGAAAATTCCTCACCAGGGGATCATTTGTGCAAAGTACCTCACTGTAAAAAGGCTCTATAAAAATCATATTTTTTTAAAGCTGCAGCTCATCACAGTTAGGCTACAGGGTTTTCAGTTTATGAACTTATGTCACTACATCGCTGCTATGTGTCTCTGTCATTAAACCAGCAGCGGGGGGCCTCTGACAATGAGAGTTAAGCGCTCACTGATTCTCTTTTTTATGGGCGATTTTTACCCTTTTTGGCACGGCAGCTGCTAATCTGTGCTGTAGAACCTCTGCAGAATGGATCTCACCATCGCTGCCTTGTGTCCCAGCTCCCGGTGCAATCAACTGAACAGATCCTACAGTACTTTAGTACTGCAATGGAAAAACATCCCGAAATGGGCAGTGGATCTCAGTTTGCTTTTTCTTTCTTTTCAGTTTTTAAAAGAATAATATATACTACTTTGTAAAAAAATAAGAAAT